ATTAAGGTCCATACTTGCCACTATTTGGTTATTGTACTTACCTCTATGAAAGAATAACTTTATGCATTTACAAGACAGTTCTTTCTACCAGTAGTTCTTCATATTCTTGATCTTTTTTTATTTTTTCCAAAACATTTCAGATATGAAACTCAGTAGAAAAATGTTTTGATAAAATTTGAACAAGGGGCTGTGCATTCCTTAAAAAGACAAATAGAAACTTGCTGAGTGGTGATGTTCTCCATGGCTGGACAGTCTAAAACTTTTTGAATCATATGGTGTTTTCTCTTACAAAGACTGATGCACATTCAAACCCTGCCAGAGGGCACATTTTCTCAAGTACATAGTATGGTAGACAGAATAAGCACTGGTAAAAGAAAAGCATGGAGACTCTACTCAAATATGGGTATCCATTAGAAAGAACATTTGAAGTAATAAAAAAATGTTAGATTAAAAATAAATCCAATTTTTATATACACTTGTCTAGAATTAAGTGCAACATTATTTTTTTTTGTATAGAAAAGGCAAAAACCTTTTTTTTAATAAGGTACTCCTTTTTCACAGTAATATTCCATGCTTATAAATTAGTATAAATTAGTAATGATTTGTTATTCATCAAATATGCAGGAGAATTACTGTTGTGTTAATAGTGATTAGATGTTTATTAAATTATTTTCTCATCCTGTGAAGGTCCTTTGTTGAACAGAGGCCTTCTTTAGATCATGGGAAGGAATAGGCCATTACTCTACGTGAATGTAACAAACCCAACTGGAATTCGAACTTGGCTCTCTGATTTCGCCTTCCAAACTGTCATCCATTACAGCATTCACATATCCAAGTGTACAGCACCTGGTATTCTTAAGCGGTCACCCATCTATGTACTTGCCAAGTTTGATATTGCTTAACTTTGATCTGACAAGAACCAGCGTTTCAACATAGCTGTAAGCCTACTAAATTATAACCACTATCAAATAATTGAAATATGTTAAGCCATCAGCTCAAATTTTTGTTTTAGACCTTTTTAATTTCTCATTTATTAGCTATTGTATTAATTCTATAATCAGTAATGAAAGATAATGACAAATAGTTTCGTTTTAGTAATATTTTTTGTACATTCTCACGAACCATTTGAAAATTCAACTTAGATAACTACATTATAATGAAGTTACCTCCCCTGAAGCAAATCTTCCTAATGGTTACGTCGAGATATTCGAAGAAACATCCGATGAAAAGAAAAGAAAAATATTCAGCTGAATAAAATTCAATCAAATGTAAAATACAAAAATATCAGATAAAGTTTTTTGCAATATTTTTTGTGTGTGTTTTTACTTGTATCACTTTCTATTTTTTTAAGCACAGTTATTCCTTCAGGGTGACACATCTCCAGTTGTTTTTGTGCATGGTTTCTATTACTAATCTTGTGAGTGATTTATATTTTTATTTCAGAGAAGCATTATCTGCAAACGGGTTTGGTCAAATTGAGTTTACTCTGTTTTACTGATGTAAAATCAATTGTTTGTTTGTTATCTATTTGTTTTTTATTGATATTTTCCTTTCTTCTCTTTCACTCACTAAATGTTTCTGTTCATGCCAGCATGCAACCAGTTTTGTCCCAACAGGACTTTATAACTGTTACCTTCATTTCTAAATCCTGTTGTGTGATTTCCAGAGCACCTTTTTTGTTTTTCTGTTAGACATTAATTTTTCAAAGCACCATTTTTGTGATGTGTGTTCTACAGCATTTTCATTGTTTGAATGCCAACTCATTCTTCTCAGTTGAAAAAAAAAAGAAAAAAGTGCAATAAAATTTGTTACCGCTATTCTCACCTTGGGGAGAAATAGAAATATTTGAATATATCATTTTTAAATTTAAAAAGAAATGTAAATTAAATTTTAATTCATTTCTTTAAAAAGTTTATTCTTTCAAAATGTTACTTTCATCCTTTTTTATTTATTTATTTATTTATTTTAAAAAAACTCTCTGCTCATTTTCTACACTTATTATAACATATACGACTTAGCCTATTGTTTCATAGACAAAATTTTTCTTAGCTATTTTGATAATATCATTCAAGTAGATTCTATGAAACATACAAAAAATATTTAAAATCTTATAGTATTTCATTTTTGTAATTGTATAATTTACAGAAAATTGCCACATTTAAATGAACTTATTTCACTTAAGATTTCAAAGAGAAGTCAGTTTTATTTTTAACCCTGTAAATTTTTAAAAATTTATTAGAAACCAAAATCCAGGAGAGTCAAAAATATGACTTTCCTCATCATCAGACTTTAAAAGTAAGATAACAAACAAGAAACTCTATTTATGCCCTAGTTAACTATATTTACATATCTAATACTCTGTATCATCTATATATAAGTTTGCTTTATTTGTTTAAATGTTATTTTAAATGGATACTTATATTTCAGTAGATGCTCTGTTTTTATTTCTCTATTAAACAGTATATTTATTTATTTATTTACATCTGAATATTTGAGAAATCCTATTAGAAAAATATGCGTCCTCCAGCAGGAATTGAACCTGCACCCCCTAGGAAAAACTGTCATTAGATGTAATGTGCCTTTAACCACTCAGCTATGTAGGACCTCCTGATCAAACAAAGCCCAAATAATGCTTTTGAACACATATCTTCCTGATTTTTGAAATGATACATTTGTGCTCTGTTGGAAGGCACATATTTTTCTAACAAGTGTTTTTGAATATTCAGGCCAGCAGATGTAAATAAATAAATATACTGTTTAATAAATAAATAAAAACAGGGCATCAACTCAAATATGAGTATCCATTCAAAATAACATTTAAACAAATAAATTAAAAATGTCCACTTTAATCCATTTCTTAAAAATATAAATTTGCATATGGTATGTGGAATATGTGTGTGTGTAACCTGAGAAATATATATATATATATATATATATATATATATATTAGTGTGTGTGTGTACAAAATATTTATCTCAAGACTTTTATTTGCTTGTTCTATACCATTTTGTTATTTGCCACTTCAGCATCTCAGCACTTGCATGTAAAGTTCAATATCTCAACGAGGGCACCATTAAAAGTGGCTACCTACTTTTAGCAGCGGATGCTTGTAGGCTTGTAACAGATATACTTTTTTCTGCCATTATTGCTCTTAGCTAGCACTGCTGCTGCCTTTCTAAAAGGGAATAGACCAACTGTTTTTAAGCTGGATTAAGATATGATTTTAAGTAACAAAATTAGTGACCAATTTTAATCCTTTAGCAGTAATTTTATTTTTGGAAAAAAAGAGAGAAAATAAATTATAATTGTATTGTTTCTTTCTAATACTTTTATTTACTTTCATTTCCTCCTGATATCACTTTTTATGATTCCCTGTACTATTTACATTTCTCTTACCATCTCCATCTTTCTCTTTTACATACTGTTTAAGAAATGTTACTGTCATTATTTCTTTTGTAGCTTTTTATTTTCCATCTTTCTACTTCACATGACTTCAATTTCTTGTAGTTAACATTACATTTTGTTCAACTCCTGACATAGGCTATTACTTTTGGCCAGACCATGGCCCCAGAGCCTGCATCCAAAATTCTGACCTTACATTTTCATGTGTGATGTTTCGGCAACAGTCTGCTTATCATTGGTGTGGGTATTTCTATGTCTCTCTCTTTCTCAAGTTGCATCTTAGAAGCAGCTGGACCAACATGTGTTCACCTGTCAAAATCACCACTGACATCGAGAGAATTACAGATCTACCTCTACCCCCAGCTAGGAGGTTATTTCAAGTCAAACCTGCACATGCCTTTGATTTAATTGAATCAGGCACATATATATATATATATATATATATATATATATATATATGAGGGATAGAGACTGACTATAGACTGAGAGAGAATGAAATAAGTACATTTCACTACTTTTACAGTATTTGTCTAAACCTTGGTCATTCTTAGATAAAGATCAATAAGTAGTATAATGTCTACTAATATCCTCTGCTGTTCCTTTCCATAGTACTAGAAGTAGCAGTGTACTGATAGAAAAATAAATAAATAAAAATAAACAACAATTTAGCATTTTCATTTCTGAGATGAGTAATTGTCAATATTCTTGTATTATTTCAAACTATTGTTCTCATCTTGGTTGATATAGATGTTATTATAGACACAACATTTCAACAAAGTACCCTCTGGTCATCATCAGGCATCCATTGATTGGCTTATATGGAATATCTATTGATTATTGTGATATTTTGTTCCTGTTGAATTGTTATGTCACTACTAGATCCAAGGATTGAACTCTTGACCACTGAATGACAATAAAACATTTATATTCACTTATACCACCATCCCAAAGGACATTAGTAGTGTGTTTTTTGGAGCCTTTTATATTCAATGTCAGATGGTTTTTGACATTTTCTTCTGATGGTAGGTTCATACTGCTTTTCATAATTTAGTATTTTCATTTATGAGATGGGTAATAACAAGAAGACCAACATTTCATCAAATCTAAAAATAGATCTATATTTCGAATTACTGGGCCATGTAGTCATATTTCAACTAATAAAACAGAAATCATTCCAACCAGGGCATGAACATTATGGTCTAGCAAGCAAATCAAAAACAAGATTTGTTCCCAACCAGGATATAAGGTCACTAATCATGAGCCAATGTGAAGTGAAGCAGCAGTTTTGAAGCAGATCTCTAAATACATATGAGATGCAAAATCAACCTAAATCAGAAAAAAACAGCTACATTTGAATACATACATATATATCTACATTCTTTCGGAGTCTCTCTCTCTCTAGGGCATTTAGATAGTGTTGTATTAATGTCAAAGTGGGATGATGCTAAAATGTCTGCATTTAACTACTCTCTTTCTCTCTATATATCTTCTTTTTATACTTTATCCTTCTCTAACTCCCTCCCTTCTTAAATAGGAAAACTAGCAGTATATAAAGTTCACTTTTCTATTTTCTGAAATATGTTCATGACTCTTTTCAGCTAATCGCACATGTTCTGATGCACATTACCGTTGTAACACTGGACAATGTATCCCTGTGAATCTTGTTTGTGACAACAAACGTGACTGCCCAGATGGCTCTGATGAAGTGCGACAAGCTTGTGGTAAGAACCTTATATAAATATTAGAAGTTAAAAAATAGATAATGGGGAAGATAGCAGTAGTGAGTCAAATGCTGTTGTCATTCATTTTTGCTGGTATCAAACATCAAGTCTTCAGGGAAACAACTGCTAAGAGTACAGCTGAGAAAAAGAGCTATAGACAAAAATACACATTGTGAAACCATTCTGAGATGAGTAATAACAAGGGGACCAAAATTTCATCATCTGTAATAATAGATGTATATTCTGAATCACTATGCCATGTAGTCATATTTGACCAATAAAACAGAAATCATCCCAACCAGTACATAGACATCATAGACTAGCAAGTGAATCAGAAGTGAGATCTGTTCTCAACAAGGATATAAGGTCACTAATTGTGAGTCAATTAAAAGTGAAGCAGCAGTTTTCAAGCAAATATCTAGATCAGCAAGTAAACTTGATATATAGAAAAATCTGTTTATTCTTTGTATCATCTAATAGAAGTCCCTTAGTTTTTGTTGTAACCTAGAAAGTATTACTGAATGAGGAATAACCAAAACGGAGGTTGGAAATGAAATGGTAATCTTTATAACATCAACAAAATACAATGCTCGCCAGTGGTATAAAGTAGATAAAACACTGCTAGTGGTGGACTACTTAGACAGCATATTACTGCCACTTACAATAGTGTCCCACATATTTATGAGGATTTGGACATGCCCATTAGTGTTCACAGGTATGGTATATAACAGTTTTAAAACTTAAAATAAATATGAAAGTGCGTAAAATTAAAAATCATTCCTGCCAATGAGAAGCCATGCAGCATTATTTTCCAGTCTGATGCTTTATATCACAGTAATCTGAACCAAAGGTTTAATATTAATTCTTTGTCAGTGAATTGTTGTTGTAGAGTAGTTTTCACAGTGGAGGCTTGTATTTCACTAAGTCAGTCCTAAATTAGGTTCAATGTACAAAACGTTAGGAACTTGAAATAATAGTTAATGACGCAGCAATCTAGTTGGGGTGGTTGATACTTTAATGTCCGACATCGACTGACTCACCAACTCACTCTGAGCCCCTGGCGACTGCCACTACTACTTCTTATTATCTGTGGGAGAGTCTATTAACAATAGAAAAGTATGTTCCGGTATAACAATTGTCCAGTAATCAATTTTGTCAAAACAATATTAAAAGTAAGTATTAGAAATTCTTTCATATTGGATGCAGAATTTGTATAGATAAATAATGAACACAGTTTAGTCTTGACCAAGACCTAAAAAAAGTGTAAGGTGACTATTACACTAGTCTTGCATTACCTTCCAAGTGAAGAAAGTATACCTGAATTGAAAATCAGCATTTAACTTTTACCTAGCATTGGTGAGAAAACTAATGAAGTATAGTTTCTATGTTTAATACTATACAGACAAACATCTGATCTAGAGATCCCCACCCACCCAACCAACCAACAGACTTCGGAGGCAACAGACAAAATCTGCAGACAATCAGCTTTAATGGGTCTCCTCACCCTCTACTAGTTCGTATTTACACTATTTACATGTGGACATTTATTCTCATCTTTGTTGTTGTTATCTCCCAATTGGTGAAAGAAAAAAGTTTAAAAAAAAAAGGAACAAGTAAAAGAGGGTTAGCTATATTATTATTATTATTATTAGTCAGTCTCTGTTGCATAGCTAGTGGGGGCAATTTTGTTTCTGCCATAGACTATAAGCCTGTATAAACTGTATTGAAATAAAAGTGGTTTTAATGTTGGGACAGTACTTGTAGTTGAAGGATCTTTTTGATTTCAAGTAACTTAAGCTGTGGCATATACAGAGTGAGGCAAAAGTCATGCACCATCAGAAACTCTCTGAAATGTTAATGAATCATGCAGGTAGAGAATTGAAATGTGTTTTGAAAAGGAACAAGGACATTTTGAACAGCACATATATAACAAATGACTATTAAATAAAGTTTTCATGTGTAATTATACTTTTTGTAAATTATCCCTATGGTGCATGACTTTTGCCTTACCCTGTATATTGGCTTGTCTAGTGTCTATAGAGTGACAATTGTTAGATGAAATAGTTTTTTATGATGTCATTGAAGAATTTGCTAACAAAAAAACAAGACAAATTACTTTGTAGAAAGTTGTAATTTTCATTTCAGAAATAAAGATGGTCCATATTTTTACATTTTTTCCCTATATGTCATTTTTGCTTTTTAATTGTTACTGATAAAGTTTAAGCATGTTTGGTGTGTATTTAAAGCATACTATATTTGAATATGTGAAAGTAATATTATAATGGTATACAAACTTGTTGTATAATTTTAAGATTCACTGTGTGTGATGACTTACCTCGGAGCTCAAATCGTGTGCGAACGTGTCTTGCTTGCATGATAAATCCGAGAGAAAACATGGCTGCTCTCGAAGACACGATTTATGTGTGCCGGTCTTGTCCAAAATGAGATTGTACCAGTACACATGCAAATTTCAGCAGTGTCGGACTAGCATAAAAAAGGCGAGGCACCAGCGGCATGGCAGACAGCGAGTCATTCGCCGGACTTCATGAAACAGTCGGATGTGCGAATAGACTGGCAGACCAAGAGGCGATTGAAGTATGCGTGTCTGATTTGGGTGTCCGTTTCACGACTGCCCTATGTAACGACCGAGAAAAGGAGTCTCGCAATTCATTTCTTTGAGGTGACCAACGGCGAAGAACAGCAGCTGGTTTGCCAGCGAACCCTCCCGTCACTTTTTTGTTTTTTTCTCTCTTCTTTTTGCTACACTGTGCAATATGTATTTTTGTGGGTGCCAGAAACTCGAGGGCTGCTCTGGGCAGCACACATTCTCACTATGCCACTGTTGGAAACTGAAACAAATTGGAAAGAAAGTGGGTTAAATGCATTTGCTATATGAATGAATATTTTAGCAACAACCATATCTATTTATTTTGTTATTAATTGTTTCACCACAAGCAAAGTGATAATGCCCCTAAAAAGCAGTTACACACAGTGAAAGAGAATGATAATGGGGAAGGATTAAGGAAAGAAGAAAAAAATCAACATGGGGTTCAAGAAGGCAGAAGGTGCCAATTGATGTTGCAATTAAATTTTTGAAGATTGTCATTGTCAGGGAAGCAAGAAATTGGAAGGGAGTTTCACTGATTGGAAGTGAAAGAAAAGAAACTATTAGATTAGAAGTGGCAGTTGCATCTAGCTAGTTCAACAGTAAAACGGTGAGACCTAGTTGCCAATCTAGTAGCACACTTCAGGCACCGGGGGGGGGGGGAACACATCCAAGCAGTTGCCATGAAAATATTTGTAGAAAAGATGGAGGGAAGCCACATCACATTAGTGAGAGAATGACTGAAGTCATTGTTTTGTTTGTTTCAGATTTTGTTTGCAAACCTGGTGGCTTTAAATGCAATGATGGATCATGTATTCGTGAAGAACAGAAATGTGATCGCAATCCTGACTGCAGTGATGGTTCAGATGAATTAAACTGTGGTAAGTAATATTAATTACTTTTCTTTTTTTCTTCTTTTTGCAGTTTTCTTTTGCTTTTTAATCTTTTTTCAGCCATCAACATTTGTCTCTTTTTTACTTTTATTACTTTTTTTTAAAATCCGTAAATCACTTAGAATGATTGAAAGACAAATAGAGATGTGTTGATTAAGTAGACTTGGTTAGTTGGTTGATTTTGTTTAGTGGCATATCAACCTCTGTGAGTTATTTCCTGCTGAAATCTAAATATTTTGAACACAATTTTATATTTTCTGGGCAAGCAATTCCTCACCCTTACTGAACATGGCTCCACCCAATTTGCAGTCTGGTGACCATTGATTTGTCAAGATTCCTCAAGTATCCTTTGCCAATTGTAGTCAGTTTTTTGGCAGGTTGATTTTGTTTAGTGGCATAACAACCTCTATGGGCTATTTAATGCTGAAATCTAAATATTTTAAACACAATTTTATGGCTTCAACTAAATATATGCTATAAATAGGTATTCCCGGTAATTTTAGTATAAATAGGTATTGTTGATAATTTTACTATGTGTTGTTGGTATTTTTTATATAAAAATGTATTTTTATACTTTTATAATGTTTTTGTTTGAGAGTTCACTATTTACCCATAGCTAGGACCCTAACGGGTGCTACCACCCTGGATCAGGGTGAACTTGGGAACAACAGCAATTAAGAGGTGGTTCAATGCTCCTCAAACTCCAATCTGTCAATCAGAAGCCTAGCTGCTGGATGTAGTTTGTCATACCCAGAACTAAATAGCCATGATTAAATGTAAATGGTTGAACTGCCCAACAAACAATTGACAAAGTTTGTAATATACAATAAGAAAAGAACAATATTGAGCAAGCAAACAATATATGCAAGACAAAGCAACAGTAATGAACTGAAGGCAAGGATTATGGCAGCATTCGCCAACTTACACAAGATCACCCAGAAAGGTTGCAGGAGATTCCAAAGTCTGGATGCCGTGGTTGGAAGCCAGTGGCAATTTTATTGAATAAATTTATTCTTTAATATTTCAAGGTATATTTTTGTGTAATTTTGATAAATATATCTATTAAAATGAGATGTCGGTGTTCTTTTCATTTTTGTGTAATTTAGACAACAATTTATCCATCGCAACAAGTATATTAGTTGATTTGTATGAAAATTGTTTTAAAGATACAACAAAAATTTTCTATTGTCATCAGCTTTTTACAAAAAACCCCAAATTCAGAAATTATATTTAAAAATTATGCTCAGCAGCGAACAGGTTCAAACTTAGTGTTTTTTTTTTTTTTTCTGTTTACTTTTCATTTATGAATGAAAACCTAAGGACTGTCCATTGGTTCTTCTCTTTTAGATACTGTTTGCAGGCTAGGAGAATTTCGATGCCAGAATGGAGACTGTATTCCCGAAAGTAGACGATGTGATTCTTTTCTTGACTGCAGGGATGCTACTGATGAGTTCAATTGTCGTAAGTTGAATTAGATTCTGGTTCTTTTTGCAATGATATATTTTTTCTATTTTGCTTCTTGATTTGTTTTAAATATTTAAGGAGGATGTGCAGATGGTGTTATGGCTATTGCAGCAAAAAGTGAAATCAGCAACCAGAGTTCATATTCCAGCCTAGTCTGTGACATTCATTTTCACACAAATATCCTTGGGAAAGACATGAATCCATCTCTTCTCCTCACTCTGAAATCCAAACCCTGGAGAAGGCAATGGAAAATCACTCCACTATCTTTCTCAAGAGGTCATGGCAATTTACAGATAAAGAAAAGGAATCTGTGGAGAGCCATGATTTTCTATGTCTTGAATAGAGAATGACTATGAATTGAAAAGTGTCAAGCATCAATGGAAGATCACTCTACTATCCTTCTCAAGAAGGCATGATAATTCACAGATAAAGAAAAGGAATCTGTGATGAACCATCATCACCTGTGTCCTGAAGAGACATGGTATTAAAAAAAGAAAAAAGAAATCACATTTAATTATTCTGACAAAAATGAATATCTTTGCATGTTTTCAATTACACTTCAATTGCTAAAGAAATATTGCACAAGTAAAGATACTGTTACTTTATTTATTCCAGCAAAATAAATCAAGAATTAACAAATTTTACTGACATGGGTTTGCCCACAGTCCAGCCTTATTGTTTTATATACCCTTCAAAATAAACAAAGTAAAATATTTATAAAAGAAATATTTGTTTTGATGAATATTTTTATTGAAGGATAAAAGGGTAACTTCTTTTAAATTCCAGTCCTTAGCTGTTAGAAAAAAGTATTTGTTTTTATGAACATTTTTTATTGAAGAAGGAATAGGTGCCATCATTAATTATATGAAAGTATTTGTTATGAGCATTGTTTCAGGAAAGTGCAAACATTTTAGTTGGCACCTAATCAATACTTCTGATTAAATTAAAGACAAGAGCTATTGTAAAAGAAAAATAAAAAGCCTACATTTTATATAAAGAAATGCAGTAAGAAGTTGAAGTATCAAAATACTATAATTTCTTGTTTATATGCAAAGACTGACTTTTCATTTTTGTATAAAATGCTGTTTTGTTTTTCAGTAAGAAAATACCTAGTTGCTGAAACACCTAATTGCCAATTATATTTAAAGAGCAATTTCTTTTTTCTTATTGATTTGTACTTGTAAAATACCTATCTAAGGATAAATTAACCAGATTCTATTAACTGATCTTCTTGAGCAAGGACTATGGGACTAGTACAATCTATCCTTGTAGATTGAATAAAGTGTTACATTTGAAATTTTTAGATTAGCAAACTGAAGAGAAACAGGGCTACAGTCTTTGTATATGGCTCCTTAACCTAGACATTAATAACCAAAACTGGAAAAGATATTAGAGCAGCACTAAACAAATCCTGGAAAGATCACCCAACAATGAAAAAGCTCTATGGCAACATACCTCCCATCAGCAAATTAATACACCAATAAAAACTAAGATTTTCTGGTCACTGTTGGCATAGCATAACGTTCTACTCTGGATACCATCCCATGGAAAAAGAACACAAGGTTGACTGAAGATGTACATTGACCATCTGATTGAAGACACAAGATGCACACTGGATTAACTTCCAAATACAATGAATGACATGAATGGATGGAAACAATGTGTCATGGAATGCCGAGCTTGCTCGACCTAATGATGATAAGATTAGCAATTTTAACAGACATCTGATGAGGACATCATCAGTTCAAGCAAATTGATGTATTTTGCTCTTTGAGTATATATTAAGCATGGGAGATAAATATTGCAATATTGTGAAGATGTAAGTTATGTCCCTTCACTGATCATGTCTCAAGGTAGTATTAACTCAATGAAGATACATGAAGTAACTTTTTATGTATATAACTCACTTTTACTGTTTTGATCAGTACATTCACTGAGCTACAAATGGCTGATGAAATTCCAGAAAAATTACAATGTGTGTTGCTAAGAGCATAACATTTTAATATATTTTGATACTTAAATTTTTATTTTGAAACAGTTCAATATTTATACTTTTTCTCCTTCCACGAATTTGAAGTTTTTGGCACAAAATGCACAATACTAACAATTAATATTAACTCATGTGAGATCATATATTGTGAATTATAGTTTTTACTTACCATGCAAAAATGTCACTAAAAGTATTCCTTAACAAATATCACTAAAAGTATTCCTTAACAAATATCACTAAAAGTTGTTTTTTTTTTTATTTTAAAATAATTTTTTAACCTATAAGTGACACTGATTAGTACAGATGAGTACTATATTTGACAATTTTATTTTGAATCTGTAATATATATGTAGATATATAAGAAGGAAATAGTAACATTGTTTTATAAAAGCATGGCTTTTGTGGTAATTTCATGTTTGTTTCAAGTTTTCCATATTTCACTTACATTTCATTTCCAGCTGTGTTATCTGATGCTTACTGGATTATCATTGAGGCTAAACAGTGGAACTTTGAAAATAAGAAAGCATATATATATATATATATATATATATATAATCAATGCTTACACCAGGAGTGAGCATCTGCAACTGGAATTAGCTAGCAACCTGACTAGATAGGTGCATGTGGAAAGAATGTATTTAGAAAAATGAACAGCCAGCCATTATTTATATATATATATATATATATATAATAGATGTCTGTTAATTTTTCCAAATACACCTATCTGTTCAGGTAGTTAACTAATTCCAGTTACAGATGTTCATTCCTGATGTAAGCATTGGTAATTAGCTTATTTACAAAACAGGAAGTTAATGTTCAAACTAAGGTTGAGCCAAGGCTTTCAGTTTCTAAATGTTGAGTACCAATTTAATGCCAGTTAATCATAATTACTGGATAACATGGCTTTCTTTTCTTTCTTTCCCTCCTTCTTTTCTTTCTTTCCCTCCTTCTTTTTCTTTCTTTCCCTCTTTCCTTTCCTTTTTTTCTTTCTTTCCCCTTTTTTCCTTTTTTTTCTTTCTTTCCTCCTTTTTTTTTCTTTCCCCTCCTTTTTCTTCTTTTCCCTTTTTCTTTTCTTTTTTTTTCCTTTCCTTTTTCTTTTTTCCTTTTTTTTTCTTTTTCTTTTCTTTTTCTTTTTCTTTTCCTTTTCTTTTTCCTTTCCTTTTCCTTTCCTTTTTTTTTTTCCTTTCCTTTTTCTTTTTTTCCTTTTTTTCTTTTTTCTTTTTTTCTTTTTCCTTTCCTTTTTCTTTTCCTTTCCTTTTTCTTTTCCTTTCCTTTTTTCTTTTCCTTTCCTTTTTTCTTTTCCTTTCCTTTTTCTTTTCCTTTCCTTTTTCTTTTCCTTTCCTTTTTCTTTTCCTTTCCTTTTTCTTTTTCTTTCCTTTTTTTTTTTTTTTTCTTTTTTCTTTTTCTTTTTCTTTTCTTTCCTTTTCTTTTCTTTTTCTTTTTTCTTTTCCTTTCCTTTTTCTTTTTCTTTTTTCCTTTCCTTTTTTCTTTTCTTTTTCCTTTCCTTTTTTTCTTCTTTTCCTCTTTTCATCTTTCCTATTTCCTTTTTCTTTTTCCTTTCCTTTTTCTTTTTCCTTTCCTTTTTTTTTTTCCTTTCCTTTTTCCTTTTCTTTTTCCTTTCCTTTTTCTTTTTTCTTTTCCTCTTTTTTTCTTTTCCTCTTTTTTCTTTTTTTCTTTTTTTCTTTCTTTTTCCTTTTTTTTTTCTTTTTTTTCTTTTCCTTTCCTTTTTTTCTTTTCTTTTTCCTTTCCTTTTTTCTTTTCTCTTTTCCTTTTTTCTTTTCTTTTCCTTTTTTCCTTTTTCCTTTCTTTTCCTTTTTTTCCTTTTCCTTTCCTTTTTCCTTTTCTTTTCTTTTCCTTTTTCCTTTTTTTCTTTCCTTTCCTTTTCTTTCCTTTTTCTTTCCTTTTTTTCTTTCCTTTCCTTTTCTTTCCTTTCCTTTTCTTTCCTTTCCTTTTCTTTCCTTTCCTTTTCTTTCCTTTTTTTTTCCTTTCCTTTTTTTTTCCTTTCCTTTTTTCCTTTCTTTTTTTCTTTTTCCTGTCTTTCCTCCCTTTTTCTTGAATTTTTTTTTAATTGTATCATCTAAATGCTTTTCTACATGCTTCATCTCTCTGGTTGCAGCCGTTTGTGACAAACCACATGAATTCCTGTGTCTCGAAGGATCTGCGTGTCTTTACATTTCTCAAGTCTGTGACGGTGTCATTGATTGCCCAGATAAAAGCGATGAAATGAATTGTAGTAGTATGTAAAAAGAGAAAGAAAATAACAAGAGCAATGATGCAGTTTAATTATCCTAGTCCTAAATAAATGAATAAAAATATTAGAAGTTGCTGGCAAAATATGTATATTGGAAAAACATTTAAATTATCAAAAATTGATTAAAATTTTAAAATCCCTTTCTTTATTTAAAATGATTACTATTTGTTACACAATGAAGAAATGATTCATTATAATGCAAGCAATTATAAAAGAACCTCTTTTTCCTAAAATTTAGACTTTAGAAGCTATAGGCTAATTTAGGTCAAACATTTTTACTTATATATTGTTTAAAAGATCTCTAATATGGATAACATTTTTTTAAACATACACATCAAAAATTCCCTTAATGACCACTTATAGAGGGACACAACAAATACTAAAATTATGTGCAGAAATTCATTGGAAATTATTTAGCAAATTATATTAATTTTTAAATGCATTGCTTATGTTTTTGCTACAGTAATGTATTTCAAGAGCTGTTTATATATATATATATATATATATATATATATATATATAAATTTTTAAGCATTTCACCCCAAGCAAGGTGGGATGCCACTAGCACGCAAGGTGTTACAGAGTGGGAGCAAGAATAAAGAGGCGTGATAGAGGAAAGGATGAAGCGAAGAAGAAAGGAGTAGATCAAGGCATCTGGAGATGTTGATTGACATTGCATTTGAATAGTTGGAGATTATAGCTATCAGGGAAACAAGTAATAGGAAAGGAATTCCACAGACGGCCGGTGCGAGACATGAAGCTATTGGAGTAGAAGAGACGGCTACATTTAACTGTTTCAACAGTGAAATGGTAGAACTGAGATGCCAGCCGTAGCATGTTTAAATTCATGCAGTCTGGGAACTAGCAAAAGTAGCTCAACGAAGCAGTTACTGTGAAAGTATTTGTAGAAAAGACAGAGGGAGGCAATGGCACTTCTATGGGAGAGCAACTGTAGACAAGATGCCAGATCAGGGCCAATCACATTGCATATCTGTCTCTGGATTTTGTCAAGGACCTTAAGACAAACAGCAGGGGCACCAGACTGTATATGGCAGCAGTATTCCATGCAAGGATGAATTAAACAAATTAATTTCTGCCAGCCGAAAACAGTGACCCTGTATGAACTCTCAAATCACAAGAAGGACTAAGAAAATAGTCACCGACTTTAAGCACTGTAACCAAATGGAGTAAACAATAAAATGGTACTATAGACAGTAAATTTGGTCTTTTACTTATGTATTAACCCAACCTGCATCTCTGTATACCATAGATTTTCATTTATTAATCCGACAGATTTTATTTAATGTTATTTTTAATAGATACCCACATTTAAGCAGATGCTCCATTTATTTATTAAACAATGTATTTATTTTCATCTACCAGCCTGAATATTTGAGAATTGTTTTAAAAGGCATTTTCATAGTGAGAGAATAGCTGAAGAATCATTTTTATAGAAAATATATTTAGTTCTTTTTCACTTCAAACATTTGAAATAAGATTGAAATTTGTACAAAAAAGAAATAAAAATGTTTAAGGTTTAAATTACTGTAGTAAATTCAAGAGTCAATCTCCATGTTTTTAAATAAAACATCAAGTAATCTTACACTCTCATAAGGTCATGAAGGAAGCCCCCATCAATAATGAAAAGAGAAATAAAAACAACTGGACTAAAGAAACCTATTTTCTTGAAAAACTGTTTTAAGAGAAAGATATTAATAAATTTCAGCCAGCAACATTACTGACTGTCCAATCAATGAATGGAAAATGTTTTCTTGTAAGGAAAAGGTTAATATTACCATTATCATGATTCTTAAGCATTTTTTTGTGCTTCACTAAAAACAAGTTATAGCAAGAACATTTTCATCAAGTCAGTCTAAACATATATTTTAATTAAATATTTTCTTGTATTGATTACAATTATTACTGTTATAAATTATTGCTTTTATATAGGAAATAAAAATAGAACGTATATGAGGGGGCTGTGAAAAAATTCTTCACACAACCAAGAAGAGATTGAAAAAAAAAATTAAGATTTTGGGAAGTGTTTTGTGTCAATGACTTTTCAGCACTATCTTTTATAGTTTGTGTTTTAACATATTGAATTATAAAAAAATATAATAGAATTAATGAATGAGCAAATAAAATACTATTGAATCACAAACATAAGGAAAAAGAAGAAATTATATTTGTAAAGGAAAGAAATATGATCATGTATTGTAAAAAAAAAAAAACTATCACTGATAGAAAAAAAACTTAATATGTATTTGTCAGTTGAAAAAGGCAACTATAGATAGATTTATAAAATAATCTTTTATACTTTCTTTAGAAAGCTGAAATAACTTATAGTAATGTAAGAAACAAGAATAAATCAAATCAACAAAAAAAAATCAAGACATTTTAACTATTACTAATATTAACATCTTTAAAAATGAAAGAAATTAAAGATGAATGATTTTGTGTTTTTCCAATATACATGTTTTGATTGCAAGCTAAGTATCTCTCAACCAGCATCTTGTTATTATTCCTAATTGTTCCAGGCATAATTTTGTTATTATCCCAATATGCATAATTCAAAGTCTCTGGTATTTACAAATATAAATTCAATTTTATAGTCATTCATATTATGATCATATAGTTCAGATATATATTTAAAACTTGAAAAAAATTTTGATTAACAATTAAAAAATTCCTCTATAAAAATGGGCATAACTGAAAATGGATATTTGTCTTTAGTCTTCCTGTTAAATCTTAAATATTATTCTAATTATGTAACTTGTCATTATTTAAAAAGTTGCAGTCAGAGGTCAAAAATGTGTTTACTTGCATCTAAAATTCAAAATGCAGAGTCTTATTGTAAAAATAATTATTAAGGTATATCAAAAGTACTTTTGTTTTTATAGACGCCAAAATTGCAGGTACATATTTAAAATTTATAAATCCACTATATTATTAACACTATATATAGAGGATTAATATAAAATGTGACTTAACTGATTGATATTACCTTCAGCATCCCAACTTTAGAGTCTTGGAGATGGACCCTCAAGCAATCGCTCTGTCCACTCATCAAGAGATACCAGAAATTGACTATATATATATATATATATATATATATATATATATATATATATATATATAAAAAGTTTCCACATGTCCTCCATCATTAGCAATACAAAGGGCAATACAATTTTGCAGTTCACGAAAAATATTTGCCAACTGATTTACAGTAATGCCTGAAATCACATTAGTCATTTTAGCTTTCAAATCTTCTAATGAACTAGGTTTGGTTGCATACACAATTGTTTTCACATGTCCCCATAAAAAAAAAATCTAATGGAGTCAAATCTGACGAACATGGAGACTAATAATATAGTCCACCCCTTCCAATCCATCTGTTAGGAAATTCCTGATTTAGAAACTCTCTAACACACAGAGCAAAGTGACAAGGAGCTCCATCTTGTTGAAACACTGTATTTTAACATTTTTTACAGTTTATTTCTATCACTAATACAAATAAAGTTATAATTTTTTTAAAGTGCACACGAACTTTGTGGACACCCTGTGTGTGTGTGTGTGTGTGTGTATATATATATATATATATATATATATATATATATATATATAATCGACTCTCCTGTCGAGATTTGACATATGAGGGTCAAGCAGATCAGTTTCCAGGAAACCGACAGACTGACACCGGCACATGAGATTTGATTATAGTGGTGAAGGCCTCGTGCAGGACCATCCACACTTTTTGAAGGACAAATACAGAAAGTTGGTGCAATCAATGCCACAAGGTTCCCAAACGACCTCCAGGTTTTGAATTCAGAATTGTCCTTCTCCTCGACCAGTTGCCATCCAAGGCTATAGAACCCAGTCTGTCCTGATATTTTACCCATAGCTGGAGGGAAAGGAAGAGGATTCATACCTTTCCCAAGGGTATTAGCACGTGGCGAATGTAATGGATTCGACTGAACTTTTTGCTCTCGATTCTTCAATCCAAGCCGCTATCCATTACTCCACCGTGCCTCCTATATATATATATATATATATATATATATATGAAACAAATAGGAAACCTTTATAAATTTATCATTTAAGCCAAGTTCCAATTCCCGTTGGGTTTGTTAAATTTTATTACATGCAAATACCCTTGGGAAAGGTATGAATCCACCTCTTCTCCCCCCAGCTATGGGTTAATTAGTAAGACGTGTATCAGTAAACCACTATCTCAAAAAAAATTTTCTTGCAATCTAAAAATATTTTCTAGCTTTAAATAACCTGCAAATGGTCGGTTAAGCTGTAAAAAAAAAAAAAATGAATCGATCAAATCTTGATTAATAAATTGATAATGTTATTATTTGTCTCCTATGAGCATAAATATGGTGAAGATTGGTTCAGTGTGAGTTTCCACATGCATAATGTGGGTAAAAAAATATCCAGTATCTAGAGCTTATTATTCAAATGCATAAAGATGGCCCACAATCTACCTCTTTTTGTGAAATGGGGAGATGCTTTTCTGAAGGTGGAATCTCCAGTGTCTAGTCTTGCTTCATTTATGCTGTATAAAAAATGAGTCATGAACACTAAAAAGGCAAAAACAATTTGTCTTTTGAAAGAAATTTGTTATAATGAATTTTTTTTTTTATTTTTTTTTTTTTATATTTTACTATTTTACAATATAATTCTTGCTTTTATTAAATTTCATGACTTATATATCTTTATTCAAAGTGAATTTTAATATTTAGGATAATTTAAAAATGTAACAGTGTACAGTAACAGAAGATAATTTTAATGTATATACCAGAGACTTTGCATTCTACATAATAACATGTTACATGGAACACTGAATGTGAAGTGCATTTAGAAAACATATATTCCTATTCTATAAAAGATATAAGATGGTATTTAAATAACTACCTGATTTGAAATTAATATATAAAAAAATCCACACACACATATACATACATATACATATATATATA